TGTAATTTTAAAATGTTTTGGTGGGGACAAATTAAGGAGCCATTTAGATGAGACATCAGTGATTTGAAACTTAACTTTTAAGAATTCTTTTAAATTTTAATTCTCTATTGCTTGGAATCAAAACATTTTTAATCACCCCACTTTAGATGGAATTGCAACTTAAAACAATTTTAATATATTCCTTGAAATGTGCATTTGAAACATTTATCCTTTCTGTCAAGAAAAATGCCATGATCCTTCAGGATGTAAACAATTATAGTTTCAGTTTCCTTTTATTTCATCTGTGACTTGCCAGGCCTTGTAGGAGGAAATAGATTTCTTGCTTTCTTCTTCAGGGTTTGAATTCAATTTTCCTTCTCTTACACTGGCTGCCACTCAAGGTGTGAGGAACCCGTCTATGTTCCTCATTGCATACTGAAAAATGCTTCTATACAGTGTCTCTTCAGGACATAGGTTTCCATAGCTCTCCACGATTTCCTGTTCTTTGTAAGTTAACTAGGAATTATTAATATAAAAATGTTAAATATCTTTTTTTACAAAGAAACTTTTTGTTGTTGTGAAACTATGAAACTGTTAGTATAATTGTAAATATTATTTCTATGGCTTTGTAGTGAAGAAAAAAAATTTAGCTAAAATAATTTTCATATATTCAGTTCAACATAAAGGGTTTTACTCTATTCGCTATTGTTTCTTTTGTATGTATATTTTTTTTTTTTTTTTTTTTTCAACAAGACAGCACATTACTTTGCTTAAACTTGGAAGTCTTGTGCCCAGACAAGTTGGAAAACTTCATTGTCTTCAGTAACTAAGTTGAGTTGTTTAATTTTCAATTTAACAACATACAAGATATTCTGGCACCGTATTTCAGGTAATTGAGTTTAGTTGACATGATACCAATGTTACTAGTTATCTCTAGTTACATTTTTAGCTGTGTATTTAACTTTAGTAGTGACTTAATGTTACAAGTAGATTTGAAATGCTTGTCCAGGAAAAGAATGAATGCTTGAGAAAGTAACAAAAGCCAATTTGTGTGACCAGTCAATTCTCTGGATTTTTATCCCACTAAATTGTTTACCTACTCATGGTTGGATTACCCCTGAGAACAAGTTTGTTTTCTTGTTATCAAGACAACAGTGCATTTATCTATATCTGATAAAATCCAATTGATTAGTGTAACTGTTTAAAGAAAACTAAAATATCTTAAATTTAATTTCTGTTAAGAATTTAAAACTCTTTATTAGACAAATCAGTTTAGCCAGCAGAAAAGTCTTATTTTATATGCACTAGACATTTCCTCTAAAAATTGTTACTTCTCTCACCTAACAGACTTCAAGTTCTTACAGTATTGACAATTTCTCCAAATTCAGCAAAATATGAATTATGAAGTAATAAACACTTTCTGAATTTATATATAAAGCATAAGATACTTGGACTATATGACTTTGACTGCTTTCCCTAAAATAAAACTAACTTTAGACCTAGTTGTCACTGTAAAGATGGGGGGTATTTTTGAGCTGAGCTTATGGCAATGATCAATCTTATTCTCGCCCTGTATCTATTACATTAATCTTTGCTGGCTAAAGTAAATATAAATTCATATTTGTTTTTATGAAGCAATTTATAAGATAGAAATCTGACTGGTTGATTGAGCTCCATTTATAAGTTTATACCATCATCGGTCTCTCAATTGTTTTAATCCGTGGGTGAACCTGAGGGCAAAGGAAATAATCTATTCCAGGCCAATCTGCTGATCAGGTACGGTGTTGCTTTGGTTCTTCCATCTTATGATCCTTTTGGTGGACTTTCAGATAGCTTGGTGACGGCGCCCATCTCTTCTCCAAGCTCTTGACCAACAAACAAAGATGACTGAATATGGTGTAGATTACCCTTGATGCATACCCCCAGCAGCCCTCCTTGTTTTGAATTCAGAGTTGTCCTTCTCTTAAACTGGTTGTCAACCAAGGCTACAGGACCCAGTCTATCCTGCTATTTACACATAACTGGGGGAGAAGAAATGGATTCATACCCCTTTTCCCCCAATGGTATTTGCATATAATATATAAAGGATAATATAAACTTGATTCAGTCGTTAGTCTTCCATCTTATGAAGATGACTACTTAATGAAACTGTCAGTCACAATATTGATCAACTAATCTAATGTAATTAGCACTGTCAATTTAGATTTTAGAATGTTTCTAAATTGTTCATATTGCTATATTTTAAATATTCAAACAATTTGTATATTTTAATACAATTATCTTGACCATCTAATTTGTATCTTCAAAAAAATAAATAAAAATAAATAAATAAAAAAAAAACTATGAAAATGTCACAAATCTAAGTTTGATAATTTTATTTTTAGAAAAACGAAAACTTAATGTTTGGATGCTACCTGTAATGCAATGGTCTAAGAAAATAAAAGTATTTAAAATGCTCATTTTAAAATATTTATTTATTTTTATTTTTTTAAATAGACCAATTTTGTATAATTAAGTGATTCTAAGTATTATTGTTTCGGAAGTAATCATGATCAAGAGCATCGTCAACATGGTCTTTTGTCAAATTTTCAGACAAGTGTGCTGCTATGCAAGAACTTTTAGTTTCTTTTTTTATATAGAAAAAAGATCTTGTCATTCATAAATGCATGTTGGTTACTATTTCTACTAAATTTATCTGAAATCTAGTCTTACTAGCTTAAATGTTTTAGCAGATGTGATCACAAAAACACTTAAGACCTTTAAATATAAGTTGATACAAAAGTTAACTAGATTTAGCAGCTTTAGCTTCATAGTCTCAATGCCAAATGTTTTGGAAATTTTCAATTTTTTTTTTTTTTTTTTTTTTTTTTTAACCATCTTTTAGCCATTGTTTAAGGACTTGATCTTTGATAAATTTTCTAGAAATTATTTAGTGTATAACTAAAACACTTTAAAACGGATGTCTTTTATTTGATAAAATTTCTTCACAGGTCTTTCTAGAAACATACTTGTAAAACTAACATCCTATTGCTTTCTCTTTACCTAGAAATTGATAAAAAAATATATACAGAAGATACACTAAATTTTATATTTACCTTTCAATATTTCACGCATAATTTAAGGTTGAAAGGATAATACTTTATTAAGCCTTTTTTTACTTTTAAATTTGAGTGACGCTACTGTTTTTATTCTATTAGCTAGAGTGTTTTGAAATTTGAATCAAAATGATCCTGCTTCGAATTTTTTATGATTGAATCATTAATGCTCCAATCAGTAGTTTACCTGTAAATTGTGACCACTAAAGTTTACTTGTCAGCAGACAAGCCTAAACAAGTTTAAATCCGTGTTATAAAAAACTTTAAACTTACAATAGTTTCCTTGTTATAAAGATGACACAATTCAAAATGTTATTTTAGGACTTAAGTCAAGTGAAACTATAATATTCCAACAGCCAAATGTTGCTTTTATAATTCATGAGTTTATTTTTTCACTCACATAATTTAAATAAAATTTTAACTTGTAAAACTTTTTGGAAGACTATAAAATTAAAAATAGATAATTTTTCTTCGAATGATAGTCTTATTTACAGTACAGTACACTTTTTGCCAGTCTCCATTTGCATTTACCTAAAAAAAAAAAAATGAGGATTTCCGTTCGGTTTCAAAGCGACTCTTAACTTTCCTTTATTCCCCGCCTCCGCTAAAAGTTAAGTTTGGCATCAAGTCCTGTCCAAAGTTGTTTGCAGTTTTTCGGTTGGTAGCTGAAAAACACATTTTTATTTGTACTAACTCTTCTTTGTCGTTAAAACAATCAATGGCTCCAGTTTATCAGTGCAAAACTGAAGTATGTAAATAGGATGATTCGATAACAATATATTTCTGGATGAAGCCGACGGTTTTTCCTCGTATTATAAAATTGTCATTATTTTTTATTTACTATATTAAATTAGAGACCAACAAACAGGTAGCTTATTTAGGTAGAAATGTCTGATTCTAATTGTTTATCGGTTTTAAAAATAATAGTTTAGAAAAGTCTTTAAAACTTAATTTTGTGCAACACAGTGTTAGAATGACTAACGCATTGCTTATTTGTAATCACTAAATTAGTCTCTTAATAAGTATCCTAGCGACCACAAACCGGAAATCTGCATCACGTGACTGCAAGTACTAGAATTACTTGTAGAAATAAAAAACAAAAAAATCACTTGGATTATCTTTCAGCTGTCTGTAGAGCTGAAAAATATAAACCTGTAACTAATTTTCTCAAATTACATGTCTTTTATCTGAACAGCCTCGGTATGTAATGTAACAAGTTTCTTTCATAGAATTATTACATACAACAATGTAACTTAGTTACTTTTTTTTTAGTTTGAGTTCACTAGCTTTTATTTTCTTGCGACTATATATTTAAAAAAAAATAAATTTTTTTATCGTAAATTGTAAAAAAAAAAAAGTCTTTCAAATTTGAGTAGATAGCGTTGCACTTAAATTTTTGTTTAAAATCTGTATATTCTGTTGCTGTCAAAATGCACTCATTTTCTAGTGGAAAATTATGTAATCGATTACGAAGCAACGATTACAATTTTATGTTTTGCTTGTGAAAGCTACAGGTGCCCGCTAGGGAAATACAACTCAAGGTTAACTTCTTGACATCCGGTATTAACGGTTTAAAAATGTTTTTACACTTAAATTAAAATCCCCACATTAAACTTTAATTCTTTTAATTAAGAAAACTCACTTTTCTCTTTTTAACTTGTACTTCTTTTTGTCCCGTCTTTCTTTTTGGGCAAAAAAACGCTTTTTTATTTTAGATAAATAAACTTTGAATAAAGTTTATTTTAAAGTACTCTGAAATATTACTCCTTTAAATTTTGAGTTTCTCATAAAAGTTCACTTTGAAATGTGTATCCTAACTCGTCATAAAGTATTTATTTACTTATTTTATTTATTTATTTTTATTGTTGCATAAAATATTTATTTGCAGGCTGCTACTACTGCAGTAGTGCTGCGAGAGTCGGCAATATGGCGGACGTCGACCCAGAAACACTTCTGGAGTGGCTTCAAATGGGACAGCAGGGCGATGAACGAGACATGCAACTAATAGCCCTGGAACAACTATGCATGTTACTACTCATGTCCGATAACGTGGATAGATGTTTTGAAAGGTAACACCTTTTTATCTAAGTTTTCCACTCCATTTTCGCTTAACACTCATTACTTGTTAAAGTACTGTAGTCATAACCAGGTGATCTGTCTACTACAACACGTTCCCTAGACTGTTTATTATTTATCACCTGTTTACGGTTTCCTCTGGGATCTTCTGTTCTTCGACTCTTAAGAATGAGTATTCATTTGAATTTAGCTCTTTCTTTACTGGATTTATTAATTGCTCTCATAGTTAATCTACGTATCTAAATATTTTCTTTTTCGTTTCTATTCTAAACATTCAACTTGGTTTCTTATTTTCTCGTAATTTCTAATTAGACAATAAGGGGCGGTGATTACAACTACAAAATTAAATTTATTTTGTACAACTAAAAAATGAAGTAAATTGGTTTATTTGTTTGTAACTTCTACTCTGTGGATTTTTAATGTAGAATACATTAATTTTAAAAACAAACAAAAAAAAAACAGTTTTATTTTTATCTGCTTCCGATTCCGTAAACAAATCAAAAAAAGTACGTAAATCAAAAAAATACTGCCTGCATTTATTTGTATTCTATCTGCCACTATATTTAATTAATGCGAAAAGGTTTGTATACTAAATTGATAAGCTGGAAGATCAATAAATCGATCTTTTTATAATCGTGTTTATGATGTAAGGGTTAGTAATCGCTTAAAATTTTTTTTTTTTTCAATAACTTTATTCATTGTTAACGGAACCTCTCTTCGTTGCTGAAGTATTTTGATAATTTAATATTTACCTCGAGTTTTAAATTTAATTTTTTTAAAACAAAGTTAAATTATGTAAGTATAAAAAATGAAAGTGACAGACGAAGCCAACGAGACTTTTTTTTTTTTTCTTTACCTTTTGATTTCTTCTATTTCTTTATCTCAGCCTCTTGAACATCATCTTTCTTTAAAGATTCAAATTAAATTTGATATTTTTAACATAATTTAGGACTTGGGTGGGGTATATACTTTCTTAAACTGAAACTGACAATTTTTAACAACTTGGTTTTTATTTATTTGGGAAGAAATACTGGATTATAAATTAGTATCTAGTGTTTTAAGTCTTTGTAATGTAACTATAATCTGAATATAGTAACCATACTTTAATGTATTTATACCAAAATTTTGTCAGTATTTAAATAATTATTGAATATTCTGATGCTTCCTTTAATCCTAGAAACTAACTTTTTTTTTTCTTTTTTTTTTCTAATAAAGAATTTTTCCTTAGTGTTTGAAGAAAAAAGTCTACATGTTAATAAGCTAATTTGCATATGCATGTTAATTCTATAGTAGATCAACTGTGGCACTAATTAGGATTTATTTTGGTTTAATTCCAAATTGTTGTCTAAAATATCCTTGTATCAACACAAACAAATGTCTGTTCTGATTTGCTACTGTAACTCATTTTTGTTCCAATCTACGAGTATGGTATCAATGATTATGATATTATTTTGGCTAATTCAGTTTTTAAGTCAAAATTTCGATTGTAATTGTATCTTAAATCTCTTGCAGTTGTCCACCGAGAACTTTTCTGCCAGCACTTTGTAGAATATTTCTTGACGAATGTGCCCCTGATAATGTTCTTGAAGTTACCGCACGTGCCATTACATACTATCTGGATGTATCTGCCGAGTGTACACGTCGTATTGTTGCTGTTGAAGGTGCCATCAAAGCCCTCTGCAACAGGCTGGTTGTGGCTGAAATGTCTTCTCGTACAAGCCGGGATTTAGCTGAACAGTGTATCAAAGTAAGTATAAATGATTCTGAATGACTTTGACCACTTGCCTTTTCATATCAAATCTTGAGTGAAAATATACATTGAAATGTAAATCTTAAGTGCAATTATATGTAACAATGACTTATCTAATTACTCTTCAATTTTAACTTGCCAATTTATAAAATTGTTCATAATGAATTGGAATGGCTGTGAAATTCATGAATTTATTTACTTTTATTGAGTACTAGAGTGAAAAGGCAGGAGCAACTTTTTTTTGTGTTAACTTTCTACTTGTCTCTCATGATATAGTTTGTAACTTAGCTTCATGTGATGCATTGATTTTTTTTTTTTTTTTTTTTTTTTTTTTTAAATAAAAAATCTCTTTATAGCACTTATAGCATGTGAACCTTATCCTATCTACAGGATATGACTTCACCTGCTTCCTGCATTAAACTGTAACTGCCCATTAAGTTGCAGCGAGGAGTGTAGTAGCTATATAGGAAATTTTATTAATTTGTCAATTCTTAATGGATATTAATGAATAGGGAAAAAATTTAAGACATGAAGTTTTAATGAATGACTTTGTTATAGTCATTTTATAATTTTTAGAACTGAATGATAAAAATTGCAGAAAAAAAGATTTATAGTTTTAATTATTTTAAAAAAAAAACAGGTTATCCCAAATTAAAATTAATTTCAATATATCTAAAAAGCCTTTTAATATAAGTATAGAGATATTGTAAAAAAAAAATTATAAAACATGACCATTCAAAATTCATCAGAACTTTGAAATTTTTATTTACACTATTTACATTGTTCACACTGTCTTCATCTTTGTCATATTCAGTGTTTTGTCATTGCACTTTCTGGTCTTTTTGGAAATTTTTTGGCTTATATTGGAAAAAAAGCCAATTTTAATTAACTAATGACATAGGCTTCAAACAAACTAAAAAATCATTACCTATATGACATTACATTTCTAATCTTGAAGTATAAGAAAGATGGAGCTAATGGAATCAATAATTCTAAACATTGTGAAAATTGTTGTCAAAGGCAAAATCATAAAAATACAACACAGAAGGGCATATTTAATGGATCATAATTTTCATCCCAACAGTTAATGTCATGCAACTTCTTTCTATAATTCATAGCATGATAGAAATGGAAGTGTTTTTTTTTTTTTTTTTTTTTTTTTTTTTTAATAGTACCTCAATAAGTGTAATTTGGCAATAAAACAACAGTTTAAAAAGAAAATAAACATATTAGATTTGGACATTTCTACTTGGATAACGAATTCCTCCTTCTGATGGAAGGAGCAGATATACAATCCCAGTTCTATGCAAAATATTCTTTTTTCCCCCACTCCATCTCTACTATATTGCCTTAGACTTCAAAAAAGCCTTTGGCATTTTGGGCAACAATGATCAAATATCATGTGGGTAAGAAATTGACTCCTACTACCCAGCTACTGTATTTTAAAGCAAGCAGTGCAGTAATGTTTCATGTCTCCATAGGGAAGTGATTCCTTGTCAGTTGATGTCAAAGCTGTCTTCTGTCCCCTACATTCTTTTAATATCTCCTTTTGAATGCATCATGAGTGGCTCTCTTGAGGGACACCAGAGCATAGTCAGCATCAGAAATTGCAACATCACAAAACTTTGCTTTGTAAATGAGTGATGGTTTAACTGTCAAAGAGGAACCTATCAGTTTGAAGAACTTTGATAAAATATCTTTCAAATATGGTGTATGGAAATTAACACAAAAAATAAACTCCTAACGAGAAGGTTTCAATCAAGATAAGTCTGCGGATAGGAACTTAAAGTAGGGAGCCAATTCAAATATCTTGGCTTGATTATCAAAGAAGGCTCCAGAATTGAAATAATTTCAAGAGCAACACAATCGCATAACTGTCTGGAATGACGAGAACGTCAAAGATTAGACCATTGCATGCATCAGACTTCTCAATCATTCTGTACACTTGCAAATCTTGGAAATTAATGACAGAATTACTGCAAAGAATTAGAAGTCAGGTAGTACAAAATCATCTTGGGCATCTATATATATATATATATATATATATATATATATATATATATATATATATATATATTCTATCACAAGAGATGCATTGTGAGATGACATCAGACAAAAGTTCCATTTGAAGTCTTCAGATTCACAAATCAAGAGAAAGTTGAAATGGGATGGACATGCATATAACCCCCAACACTGGTTTCTGCCAACATTCACACAAGGCAAGCAGATTGTAACTGAATTCCTGTTGTCTTAAAGAAATGTGCTCCTCAGCTAGCTCCTATTTTCTCTAAACTTTATAACAAATGCCTCACTGCTTCCTGCTTTATGGAAGTCCTCCTCTGTAGTTCTTGTTTTTAAGAATTTTGGGGAACCCTCTGACCACTTAGTTTATTGCCTTATTAGTTTCTTAACTCTTTTCAACACAATACTTGTGGCTTTAATTAATACTGAATGGATTAAGCATCTTGCTTCATACAACCTCCTTTTGGACAAACAATATGGCTTCCATTTCACAAGGTTTACTGCCAACAATCTGTTAACAGCCATCAATGAATTTGTCCTTAAAGTTTTAAATAAGTATGATGAAGCTTGGGCTGTGTAGATATACTGGGGTCCCCTAAGACTCTATTCTTGAACCTACACTGTTTCTGATCTTCAATGTCATCAGTTCCCAATTAGGTATTGATACAGATGGCACCACTATTTTCTCCTGTCTTAGTAGCAAATCCAAAAGACTTGATAAAGTAAACTTGGCAACTGCTCTTGAAAAGGACACCCAATCAGTGGTTAACCAGAGTAAAAAAAAAACTCTTGTAAATTTGAACATGTTCAAAAGAAAACCGCTTTTATATAATGACTAGAGAGAACCTTTTCTGTCAACCATCAGGATGGCTGATGTTGAACTCCAGGAGAGCAACACACTAAGTCTTCTTGACCTCATGTTTTCCACTGACATGAAGTTGACTGACTATATTAAATCAGTTGCTGTTTATTGCAAAGAAAGTTTGGGGATATTGTCATGCCAGAAAATTTTTCTTGTCAGAATCCATCTTGCACATTTATAAATCTGCAACTTATCCTTGCATTGAATACTGTTCCTATATCAGGTCTGGTGCTCCTGATTCTTGACAAAGTTCAAAGAAGGATCTGTAATGTAATTGATCCTGACCAGGCATCTCAACTTCAGTCACTTTCTTACCAGTGTGATATGGCTACCCTCTGTTTTTTTTTTTGGGGGGGGGGTCTTTCTTCTACAAATAAAATATTTTCATGGCAACAGTTCTGATGAGGTTCCTGGTGTCCTGACTTCATGATTTTAAACTTGCTACTAGATTGGCAACTAAGTCTCACTGTTTTACTGTTGAAATAGCTAAATGCAACTGCCACTTCTATTGTAACAGTTTCTTCTCTCACCTGTAGAACTCCTTTCTGATTTCTTTATTCCCTGATAACTACAATCTACAAAAATCTAAATGCAATGTCAATAGCCATCCTCTCTCTTTTTTTTTTTTTTTTTTTCCCCTCAATCCTTCCCACTAAAGTCTTAGTCTTTTTCACTTCCTGTAAACCCCACTCTGCATTCTAGTGGCATTATCACCTTGCTTGGAGTGAAACCATTAAAAAAAAAATCATAATAGCCAATCTTTTCACTACCATCCTACAAGGTGCCACCATTGGCAAAAGAGGCAGAAAGGAAAAAATGGTCTGATGTTGTCACTGAATGAACTGGAATATTATTCAATTCACAAACTGAAATTGGAATGCAACCTAAGATATTTAGAGTTGGTCAGGTATTCAACTGTTCAGTGACCCTATAACCATACTAAGTTCTGCAACTAATGACAGTGACAACCTTATCCTTTGTAACATGTCTCACTGAACCAACACCTTACCAATTAAATGGCTACAAAAACTAACCAGAAGTTATTTAGTCACTTTGCTACATTTATATTCAATTTTAATACCACATTTTGTTACAGATAAATTAAAACTAATATCAACTACTCCTTAAGCATTAAAGTACTTTCTCATGTTTTGGAATATAAAGCAAATAGCATAATATTTATAGCTATGACTGGCTCAACTTAGAGAAAACTCAATTTTGTCAGTATTGAATTTCTGACAAAATATCAATGTTAAAAACTTAAATCTTTTATTTAAGACATTAAGTGTAAGTAATTAAATTTTCTCATGCTTAATTTTTATAACCCATATTTTTTAAAAATGTCTTGTTAGTAATCATCTATATTTACAATACAGCAGTGAAATCAGTTGACTGAACCATTATGAATGTTAATCCTATGATTATTCACACAAGATACCTTTTAATCTCATTAGTCAAGCTGAAAAATTTGTTAGCTTTTTAATTCTGATTAGTCAAAAAATAGAGCATCTAAAATGCTCATGTATAAACTGATAGTCTTTCCTACATTTCTATACAAGTGAAATTTCATTAATTTGAATAATGTACTATAAAATAGAATGTATTTACAAAACGTTTGATGACCTTTTTGTATTGAGAATCATGTGAATGATTAAAAGAACTTTAAAGAATATGCTGTTATTAAACTGAACCTAGAATGGCTCATCTCAATGTGAAATTACAATTTTGTATCTTGTATAGCCTACCTATTATCTCTTTGGTTCAATACTTGCTATTGAGTTTTGAGCGAGAAGTAAATGTCACATATGAGCAAGACTTGTTCAGCATTTGTTCAGTCTACTTTTTAATTGTAATTGTTAAACACTTTAATTAAAACAAAAATTGCCTGCAAAATTTATAGATATCCTTAAACAAATTAAAAGAAAGATTTAATTCATAAACTAATTGTACTTTACTTGTTATCTTGCGTTTCTTGATAATGAAATGAATTAATGGTCCTTAATTTTATGAAATTGTTTCTCTTTAAATGAAAACGATTAAGATGAAGTACAGAAATTCAACTAAAGTTTATTTGTGGACATTTATGATTTTACTTGACTTTTTTTTCTCTAAA